CAAAGGTTCTTTTCTTCATTCAATTGGCATTGGATCATGAAGTTTTTCCATGAATTTTTGCCGCGTCAACGTCCAAGCAAGCATGAAAAATTTTGAAGCAAGAATATTTTGGTGATAAGAAGGTGATTGCCGTTAAATTACAAACTCTACATAGTAGTTTTGAGAGCATGGCAATGCAAGATAGAGAAACTATCCATAGTTTTCTGTCTAAAGTATTCGTAATTGTAATTCAAATGAGAATTTATGGTGATAACATTACTAATGAGACTATTATTAGTAAGGTATTATTAAGTCTTCATAAAATGAAATACTATAAGCATGTAGTTATTGCAATTTTGGAGCCAAAAGACTAATCGAAATATACATCTGATGAGTTGATGAGTTCTTTCATGGCTCATGAAGAGAAAATGGATAAGTCTACAGATGAACATGTTGAGAAGAAAGGTTTCAAGTTAAGGGACGCTCAATGATTGGCATTAAGATGAAGGCCGTGGTTGTGGTATGGGTAGTCGTTGATGTGGACAACATCCATCTATGAGTAGCATTCAATGCTACTATTGCGAGAGGTATGGTCACAAACAAGACCGATGTTGGGATAAACAAAGAGATGAGCAAGTTGAACAAAGCAATTTCGTTCAAAAAGTCAAAGATAAAGAAGAGAGCAAATTGTTTTGAAGTCAAAGTATGCATGTATGGTCGTTGAAGAAAGCATATTCTTCAAAAGTTAGATTTAAGAGTCAAGTTTAATGTTAATGTGTTCATGTTTGTGGTTGTGGCTATCCTGCTAAACATGTTGTGCATCATTCAGGACCACATTATCGTATGAGTCAAAGTCAATTGTAGTTTGAAGTCAAGACTCAAGAGTATAGCCGAGGTTAATAGAGTTGTATGCTCCTTTGAAGCAAAGGGTTGTGTTGTTTGTAGTGCTTCAATGTATTGGGAATGTGCGTGGGTCTCTAACTAATACAATTTAGTTGCTATCATTTATTATAAGTAGTAGTTTAGCGGGTTGGGTTTGATTTGTTAAGCTGATAAGGGGCAGATTATTAGGATTTGTTGTTAATGGGTCAATTAATTGTTGCATTAAAATAGGAAATGATAGTTTATGCTTCCATCTTTTTAGCTTTGGTTGTTTAATACGAGGCCCAAGCTTCCCTTTCTTGGGACAATTCTTGGCAAAGTGCAATCGCCATTCTTAGGCATATTTCCGGCATCTTTAGGATTTTATTAAGTTAGCTTTATCCTTATCATCAGGTTAGGTTTGGTGTTTGCCGTTATCCTGATCCTTCTAGGACCATTCAAGGGCTTTCCCTTGTTGTTTGCTTCCAAGGAGGTAGCAATATTATTATTTCCTAGGCGTGATCAACAAGAGTGTTTAGCGGCCACGGAAGAAGTTTCAATACTTTACCTATGCAATTATTTTTTTATTTTTTTATTTATTTATTTTTTTTGTCCTAGATTTTTAAACTAGAATGAAATCGAAGAGCTAATTTTCTTCCTCAGACATAGCCTTTAACTCACTACAAAGTAGCCCCAGCCTATTTATACTAAACTAGTGTTGGCCATAACTCGGTGAAATAGGCATAACTATCCACTTATTTAGTTACTACCCACTACATACCTAGGAAGCACGAGTACGACTTTCCCGTACCGGGTACGGGTACGTCTAAAATACGTCCCCGAGACGTTTCCAAAAAATTGGGTACGGCAGTGGAATTTGGATACGGCGCGCTCAACATTTGGGTACGGATCCAAACATATTTGGCGTCCCCAAGTTCATTATTGTCTCTTTTCCATCTTCTCACTTTCTCGATCCCTCTTTTCTCTTTGAAGTGATTACTATGTTTAAGATGCCTCAGACTCATCTGAGTCTAAGTCATTGTCCGCCTAAGCCATTCCATCTTGTGCCATAGCCTCCAATAGACGTCCCTATGTTCAAGGCTACACCTATGACTTATGGCCATAAGGCCACCCATGGCCAGTCACCGAGTGAGCACCTACCACCTAAAGAGCATTATTCTGCAATGGCTAATTTCGCCAGGTTACACAATAATGGCCTCAAGGGCTAAGTCATTGCCCTTCATTTCACCAACAGGCCTCAAGGGCCAAGTCCTTTCCATTAATTCTACCAAGGATGTGGCTACGAGGTTCCTACGGCTACATTGTATGATGGAAACCTCGACGTGTTTGTCAATCCAAATGTGATAGGTCAGAGTTTGCACTCGGGATCATTCCAGCCTCTCCATGCACCCCAATAGGAGCATGCGGAGGAGTTACCACGTCCACGTCGCAGCTCATGGTCCTTGACAATATATGTGACAGTTTCTTTTGTTGCTTTTTTCAGTGAACCTTGTAATACTTAGCGATATCCGGTGTTTTAACTTATGCATGTTAAAAGTTATTGTATTATAGAAACTTTGTTGTCGCGTAGACTTAGTGATTTAAATTGCAAATTCTTACAATCTAGATTAATGATACTAATTTTAAGAATATTGTTCTAAATAAAGATAGTAATTTAACCAGAAGTATACTTTTAAGAAAAAGTCTTCATTTTCTTTAACCTTTTTACCACATCTCTTGCATGATACATAGAACCAATTATATTCACTTTGTACACAAAACTATTGAGTTTAATGTAACAAAGTAGTTTCTGCCTTAATTTACCTTAGTTTATCCAAGGTTTTTCTTTTATGTGCTTGTAGAAACTTGTCACCAACGGATTTAGACAATTGACTTGATAATTGTGGTTGTCTCACACATACATCTTCATCTGACTATGCTCAAAACAATAGACCCCCCGGTTTAAGTCAAGCAAGGCCTAACCTCCAAGTTGCTCAACAATCTCCCCTCCATTTAGAACCTCAATTGTAGATGGTTCAGGCAAACCTCTTCTGAAGCACCAGATCAACAAAGTCTCTGAGAATTTGTTCGACCAAACTTCCTATTTGGCTCTTTTACTGGAACTTCCACTGAGGCTTGGGTGAACCTCCCTTAGGTCCGGACGGTTCTGCTTCTTTCTTTCTCCTTTTTGCTTCTAGCTCTTTAGCTTCTAAGCTCCTATGATTCCTCAAGATATGATTGTGCCTTCGAAACTCCTTTCGAAGATGCAACATTATCAGCTATGAGTTTAAATTTTCATTTTCATGATTAACTTTCTTTGTTTTCTTAGTATCTTGTAAACTTAAGCCCGATTGAGGAATGTGATATATATTCTCATTTGATTGAAGCAATATTTATATAATAGTCATACAGGAAAGAGGAGTTACAAGAGAATAGGAATAGCTCTAGATGGCTAAGTGAAAGCAATTTAAAGCTTAATAACAGAAACTAATTACAAGAGAATACTAAGCTGATACATTTTTGGCTTAAATATCTCTATCATGCCCCCTTTCTTGGTTACTCTCCATGTCCAAGCTTAGAGAATGGAGATTTGTGCATCTTAATATGTTCCACAAAGACCTTTGCACTCACAGTATTTAAAGATTTTCCACGTGTTGGTTTTTGGATAACATTTGGATGGACTCAATATTTTTATGTCCAACCTGTTATGCCATAACCAACGTGGCTACATACTGTTGAATATGCTCGTGAGATCTCTATACCAAAGCCTGAGTATTTCAGGATTAGATTTTTCATTGTGCCAAGCTTTCTTTGGGAGCTCTACATCTCACTCTTCATGATTCAAATTTTTAATGGAAAAGCCTGATCCACTTGCCATTTTCACACCTAGGACTTTTGAGAGAGGATAGAGAGTGGTAAATAGTTGAAGAGAGAAATAATCAGGAGAGAGGAAGATGAGGAAGGAGAGAGAAAAGGGCGATGCATAGGAGACTAAAAGAGAGGAAAGCAAAAGAAAAGAAAAAAGGGTATAGTCTTTTCTTATCGTCGACAAATTTGCAATTTCTTTATTAGGATCAAGAATTTGCAACTGTTTCCTTTAAAAATGAATTGAATAGTCATTTTATCATCATGTGAGGAACACTTAGTAGGTTCTTACCAAACATCATTGATTTTTTATTTTTCTTTTCAAAATTATGGCATGTACCAATTGTTAACCTTGATATAGGCTTTGAGCTATAATTTTGCTTGAATAATATTGAGGTAGAACTGGAGGAGAAATTAATATAATGAAATTATAGTAAAAGATTGAGTTAAAAAAAGTTATATAGTACAATATTCTAATGTATTTTTTATTTAATTACAACTAAACTGAGTAAGGTTATGAGATAAATGCTACTCTGTAATATCCTATCATTTAATGGAAGGATCTAATACATCATGCTTAATTTAGGATTTATAAATACTTAGAGACGAATAATTTTCCACAATTATTTTAGGATGGAGATCGAAGAGTCCTTGATTTAACAAACTTGTTGTCGTGTGTTCCTTCACTACCAAGTGCTCTGGAGTTTTCAATCGTGTTGAGTCATTGTTTGTATGCGTATGATGTATCAAATGCTAGTCAATCATGTGGATTGGGTTTGGTTGATGAGAAAATGTCTCATCATACTTTTTACTTGGTTTTTGGTGTACTTGTTTAGAGAGAAATGCTTCTAGTTCTCATGATTATTCCTTAGTTGAATATCTTTGTGATGTTCATTTTCCATGTTCTTTGAGGACTTTGTTCAGATAGTTGTGTCCTCCCTTTCATTAGCACGGATTTTGAAACAATGGGTCGATAACAACTTCGCTATAATTCGCTTATGTTGGGTGCTTATTGGCCACTGAAGGGAGTAACGTTATGTATCCATAATTTCTGTCTTTCTAGGATCTATTTACCTTAATGGCTCTTTATACGTTTTTTCAATAAGTGTTTTGTGCATTGTTCACATAGAAAAAGAAAAATTCCTCAAGGTTGGGTGCTTATTAACCACTGAAGGGAGTAACATTATGTATCTATAATTTCTGCTTTTCTAGAATATACTAAGCTCTATATATGTTTTTTCAATAAGTGTTTTGTGCATTGTTCACATAGATAAACTCTTCTAGGTTGGGTGATTATTAGCCATTGAAGGGAGTAACGTTATGTATCCATAATTTCTGCCTTTCCAGGATATGTTTACCTCTATATATATTTTTTCAATAAGTGTTTTGTGCATTGTGAGTAAGCCATCTCTTCTAGGGGAATGTAAAAGAATTTTTCTATGTGAAACCCTGCTGGCAGAATTTTATAGTATTGTATAATACCTCCGTTTCTTTATGTTCTTAAAATTTTCCGTTTTTGTCTTTCTCATAATGTTTTTAACATATTTACTTTATTCTGAGTATGGCAATGTCTTTTACTACCTTACCCGTCTTTTCTAACAATATGTACCCTTTCCACTCAATTTCTTCTATATCCACCTCTCTTCTTACACCTACCACCTTTGTACACTCTTTATCTTACATTTTTCACCTTTTTCATACACCCACCCACCTTTCACCCACACTCTCTCCTTTACCTTTATACATGTGCAAACAGCAAATGATAAGAACATTATGAAACAGAAGTAGTGTTATTAATGATAATTGTGACCAAGCTGTATTGCGCAAGAGATCCAGCCATCTCCAATTCTCAGCTTGATGAACTTTTATAAGCTTATGAATTTGCATTTGCCTTGATCCTTTGACTTAAGGTCTGGTTATTTACATACTTGATCTATTCCCTTATCTATCAAATCTAATTGCTTGTTAGTAATTAGGAGGCCAGAGGACTTGATGCAGGACCGCGACTTGTGAAGAAGTTGATTGGATTTGGAGATAAACAGACTTCAAGAATAGTAGCTCAAATTGCTGATGAAGAAGTTGCACATGTTGCTGTTGGAGTATATTGGTTCTTCTCTGTTTGTCAAAAGATGGGGCGAGTCCCTTGTCCACTTTCAAAGGTGTAAACTTTATTTTTTATTTTTTTTTTCAGAAAATATAAATTTTTATAACTGTGGACTTGTACCCTATCCCGAAAAATATATATGTACTTTTTTTTATCTTCAATAATATGCATTTCCAATTTTATTTTGGTTTTGAATTTGGCTGATAATGCGATTTGTGGTGCAGAATTGCTAAAGGATTATGATATAGAAGTTAAAGGACCCTTCAATTATTCAGCTCGAGATGAGGCTGGCCTGCCCCGCCATTGGTTAGTCAAATTCTTTATTAAACTGATGCTGTGGTAATGACAAATGACAAATGCAAATGAAAATGCTTTTTTGATTTTTCTTTGGAAGATGGACTTAAAAAAAAAAATATCATATATGCCCTAGGGATTAGTCTTTAAATTGTCATTGCAGCAATATCAATCTACCTAACATGGACACTAGATGATAAATTGGACAAACAAAAGGCAGGGTTAGCCAAACTCATCTAGAGTATTGCTGATATGCTTGCTATTTTTCCTTTAAAGGTTATTTGCACTTGTAATGTCCTTTAAATAATTAATCAATTATGCACAAATAATTGTGAGCCCTCTCCGATTATAAGGTCTTATGCCTTATTCTGCCTTTCACTCACCTGCACAAGTAACTATTTTCTTTGTTCACTATTCAGCAAGACATGATATGAAGTCAGTAAACAATGTAAGAAAATGTTTGAGGCTTGTGGTTGGACTGCACTTTAGATTTATGGCTGTGATTTGTGATTGAGATGCCTAAAAAAACTTTCTGAATGTTTGGTATATTATTCTGGATGAGTTTATAATTGTATTACAAACCTAAGGAAATAATACATTAAAACTAGCGTTGAATGGACTTCAATACGATACACAGTATAAGTATGGGTACACTAAAGCTATGTAACAATGCCTATAATGAATAGCGATGGGTTTTATTACAACACAAAGCTATATTAGTTTTTAATTGAAATTGTGAAACACTAAAGTAGAACTCTAGTAGACAAGTACTGACTGATTAATTAACTGTATGAAATCTGAGATGCTTTGACTATGGTCTCATATATGACAATGGTTAACAGAAGTTTGATTAAAATTTGGCGTGTCATCTTTAACTGACATGCTTTCTCCCTCTTACTCCAATAGTAAATCTTCTAATCTTGTTGTTAGCTCTAAGTTGAGCTTTGTTCAAGTCTAGTGTTGGAGTAATACACTAATAACACCAGACCAGATGAGGAATGGATTGTATAGCAAAAGAAATATTGACATGATGAAGAATAATAAGCACTTTGCTAATCATAGGAGAACAAAAGTGATCTCAGTAGTGAGATGGTTGAAAGTGAACATTCCCAAGCATTGTTTAAGATATCCGCTCAACCCCTTTTTTCATTACACAAACTACCGAATATCTGTTGTGCCTGGTGGGATACCTTGGCGTGTTACTAATGATGATTTAGAACCTGTTTTGGAAGCATTCATGCCTTCGATAAAATCGGAGAAATGAAATCAGAAGAAATATTGGTTAGATTTCAAGGCAACGAGGGAATATTTGTTTAGCTGCTAGTAGTATTGATGTGTTAAAAATGATTCAAATTTTACGGATTGCAAACTTGGTGATATTGTTATACATGTAATTTCCCAACTTATAAGTAGTTCATTGGCACAAACTTTGGAGCATTGATTCGTCTATTCAAAAATTCACAACACCACGAGAAATCAACTGGAATCTGTGCTTGTTGACAAGCTTGTGTTATTCACTCTGACATTTGGTTTTCTTTATTATTAAACATTTAGCTTTCTTCGTATTCTTCTTTACAACATATCTTTAATAACTGTTTACTACAGATTATCATTTGGAGCTGTGGAAAAATTTGAATTTGTTATGCTGAAAATCACCCAAGTCTATATTTTCTGATTAAAACTTAAAAGTCTGGTGAATTAATTTGCTAGCCGGGCTATACCAGTTGTCTCTTCTCTGACAATTGAATGTAGGCTGAATTTTGTGCCCTCTGGTTTCCAGGTATGATGCATCAACTGATGATCAAAGCAAAGAGCAGCTTTCTGAGGTGTGTTGTCTGTAGGTTTCTACTTTGATAAATGCATAAATCTACTATTCAATCATATAAAATTCACCATTCACAAATTTGTCAGGTTTATGAAAGACTTGCTCATATAATTGAGATGGAGAAAGAAAACGCCAGTTCAAGCAGCCACCCTAGGTGATCCGGGATTGTAAACCAGCTTGTGGAACTTTTCCACCCCATTTTTCTCTTAAGCTAACTTGCGACTGTCATTTGGCTAATTCTTATAACACCATATGTAACCTATGATCTAAAAAGTATATTCCGTGTTCTAACTTGTAAAGATCAATCTGTTTCTCTTTTAAGACAGTTGGATGCAAGATCTACTCCACGAATAGGTGGTACAAACATAGACGATATCATCAAAACCTCTCTTTTCGTACCACTAGGGTTCCCTATGTTGGTTTGGACGTTGGTGGATGTAGGCTGCATAAGTTTAGAGCTGAAATATTTGTAAATTTTTTTTTATGTAGTTATTAGTGTAATTTGTTGTCTACCACATGAAAATATGATGCTTTCCTTTCCTCCGCGGGATTTTTGTTAATGAGTTATTTTTTGGGCATGTGCTGCACATGCTGAGGCTATTTCGGTTGTTGGTTAGTTGATTTGACTCAACAAACAAATCGGGGCAATGCTGAAATTACGCGCCAAGATTGCTCATAAGTAATAACCTTATAAAATTATAATATACGTAGTAGGTTTCTTGCAAAAATTGTTATTTATATAACTTTCATTTTCATGAATTGTTGCTTTTGCTACCACTTGATGAATTTCATTCAAAAAAGTATTGATCATTACCCGTTGAGGCCTCTTTTACGTATCCATCATTATGAAGCACCTTTAATTGTTTGTCCGGTCTGACTGTGAGTTTGTGAGGCCAGATTTACACAATATCTTCTCCTTAATAAATTCATATTAGTTTTAGATTTGAACCTCTAACTAGTTTTTGGCTTGGGCAATGCCCTGGGTCATTATATATATATTATAAATGAGGTTTTATAATAAAAATTATGTGATAAAATATAAAAAAAAGATTAATTTAGTTACATTTGTTGTAAATAAAGGAGTAATCTAGTACAAATAGTATAAAATATGGCCAATTTCAGTTTTGCTACCACCAAAAGACATGCATCTCAGTTTTGCTACCCCTCCATTTTTATTTTTTTTGCTACCACACAAAAACACATTGTTAAAATTTGCTACCACTTAACGAAATGAGTTAGGATTCTATTAAGTTTATTAAAAAAAAAAAAAGTAAAATAAATAAAAAAAAAAAAAACCCAACCAGCCACACTCCCCCCTCCTTTTCCTCCACCTTTTCAGCCCACCACCTTCAATTGCCCGGCCAGCCCCCTCCCGTCAGCCACCCTCCCCCCTCCCCCTGTCGGCGACCGACGCCCAATGCTTTGGCCGGCGCCGGCAACCCCACCCCTATCCCTTTTCCCCACAAACGCAACCCACCCCCCTCCCTTATCCTTTTCTCCCTGCCCCAACCCCCACCCCGAAACCGGAAAACAACCTTCCCTCCCCATCCCCCCCCCCCCCATCCCCCCCCCCCACCGGAATCGGCCCCCCTCCCCTTCCCACACCTTGAATCAACCCCCATCCCTTTCCCCCACCCAAACCAGCCACCCCTAACCTTAAACCACCAGCCCGAAACCACCCTAAACGGGTTTTAGGGTTTCACTTATGGTGGTTTAGGGGTGGTGTTTATGGGTTAGGGGTGGTTGTTTTGGGTGGGGGAAGGGGAGGGGGGCCGATTCCGGTGGGGGGGATGGGGAGGGAGGGTTGTTTTCCGGTTGCGGGGTGGGGGTTGGGGCGGCAGCGAGAAAGGGATAAGGGAGGGGGGTGGGTTGCGTTGGTGGTGGAAAAGGATTGGGGTGGGGTCACCAGCGTTGGCCCAAGCTTTGGACGCCGACCGCCGGTAGGGGGGAGGGGGGATTGAAAGGAATGGTGTCCTTCCAACAAGTGTATTATTCTGATAGAGGGTTCAGAATTATTACAGAGCTAATTCTTCAGTAAGGTCAAGTGATCGGAATGCCTAGGTGGAGGCCGCTTCCGATCAGTAATATTAAGGTACAATTAATATTACAGCTTAATCTTAACTGAACCCTTCGGGTCGAACCCAATCGAACAACCGATCCGAGACGACGAATCAATCCGAAGGATTCGATGAGTCATCGGAGTTTTACGAACACAGACGTAGGATATCGAGCGTAGGGCGTCGAAACCGAGCGTCGCAAAATCACAAGCAACAAGTTCGAGCGTAGCCGTAGCATCACTATGGCCTAACCATGTGGACGCTAGACTACCTCGAGCTAGCATGCACAATGCGTGTGCTAGGCGCACCACGTGTGTGCTAGGCGCACCATGCGTGCCAGGCGCACAAGGCAGCACCATCGCTAGCACTAGGTGCATGCGTGTGTGCGTGCCTTGCATGGCAGCACCATAGCAGCAGCGTGCTTGCGTGTGTGCGTGCCTTCGCATGGCACAGCACCACCGCAGCATGCGTGCTTACATGCCTAGGTGCTATCGCAAGCCTTCGCACAGCCTATGCATAGCACAACACTATCGCATGGCTAGGCCTGTGCGTATGCGCGTGTGCGTGTAGGCCATCGCAGCAGCAGCACGCTGTGCTTACTTGCTTGCGTGCGTGCCTTCGCCTGGCAGCATTAAGCAGCGAGCAGCGAGCAGCATGCTAGCAGCCTCGCACAGCAGCACCATGCCAGGCATTGCCTAGCGCCCTGCAGCATGCGTGGCTCGCTAGCAGCACGCATGTGCTAGTGCATGCTGGCTGGTGCATGCTGGCCATGCTGGCTGTCCACAGGTTGGCACTGCTAGCTGGGCAGCAAGGTGGGCTGCCAGCTCACTCCTTGCTTGAAGTCGGTGTGAGGAGAGTGGGGACCAAGGCTTAGAGCCATTCCTTGGGGAGCAAGGCAATGGTCCCCCCATGGTCATGGCCCTCACCTAACCCATTCTCTCCTCTTGCCACTTATTGCCTTGTGATTGCATTTGCTTTATAATTTATTTTAGAATTAAATAAATTAGTGCATTTGCACATGATCCCACATTGATCATGAAATGGGATTCAAGTCCCCATTCTCTATAAATACTCACTTGGTTGGGATTTTGAGAACACACACTTGAGTAGAATTATATAGGCATCTCCATTGTTGAGAATACCTAAAGTTCGTAAAACTCCAATTCTTTTTAGGTCGGGCCCCGACTAACCTTCGGGGCTTGGGCCGATCGGGTCGGGTTCGAGGGTATGAGCCGTCAGAGACCTTGCAATTGCGGGGTTCAAGTAAGAGCTCTTTTGGTGAGCGAAGCACGCGTCTGTGGTATAATTCTTTATCCCTTTTTCTCTTAATTATGTATTAATTATGTTTGCATGCTTTAATTGCTTTAGTTATCGGGATGGGTCTTGGTGGGTTTCATTCCGCGTAGAGTGGGTCTCTACGAAACCCTACAAGGATGGTGGCTGAAAAGAGGGGGGCAGTTGAGGGTGGCGGGGTTTTTTTTTTTTTTTTTGAAAAAATTTAACGGACTCCTAACGGATTCCGTTAAGTGGTAACAAATTTTAACAATGTGTTTTTGTGTGGTAGCAAAAAAAAAAAATGGAGGGGTAGCAAAACTGAGATGCATGTCTTTTGGTGGTAGAAAAAGTGAAATTGGCCTAAAAATATTTAAGTAAGATAAAAAAGATAATCTCACAAACAATATCGGTGTGTCGTGATGCAAATCACTAACTTGAAAATGAATTTCGGCGCAACCTAGGTGCTTAATTGTATTTGCCGGTACTTTCCCTAAGGTTAACACGCCACTTCCACACAAATACACTTTTGGGTGGAAGGTTTGAGTCAAGTAACTTATGCCCAATAGAGAATGTGTTTAGACTATTGTGCTTGATGTATCTTTCAAGTGTATAAATCAGAAATAAGGCTTCTTCTATTAATAAAGAAACATGAAAGAACATAGAAGAAGAATCCTAAGCATCAAGGGAGCTGAATAATCATCTTAAACATCCCCTTAAATGGGGGATTATGAGAGTTACTTAACAAGAGAATAATGGAGGTGATTAATCACCTTAAACATCCTCTTAAATTGAGGGTTATAAGAATTACTCAAAAAATTAAGTGAGGGAATCCAAAGATCAAACCGCTGGAATCCAATGGGCCAACACGCTTCCGATCAGGCGACTGGACCTGATGCCTTGAATTCCCTTATATTATTCCAATTCAACAACGATATATACTTCATTACTCGTACTATTAAAATATATTTTTCCAATCATTATTGAACATCAAATATATTATCCAATATCTAGTATTTAAAATTATTAAATTGCTTTGTTCGACTTCAAGTTTATGAATATGAACAACTCTTTTTAGCAAAACATTGCAGATATGAGATGTGACATTGGAGTAGTGGTTAAAGTTAAAGTATAATATAAGCATGAGGTCATAGGTTTGAACATTAAGGCTAACAATTCATTATTTTTTGTTAATGAATTATAGTAATTGTATGACATGGCGCGACATCATCTGCCTAGTCATGATGACACGTGGCGGGCTCATGTCATTGAGTTTTAATATATACTAGGGAGTCTAACGTGCGCGATGCGTGCGATATGACTAGCCCTTTAAGAAGAGTAATTGCAGTTGTCACTAATGCTCTATGCCTCTATGACTATGTACATGGTATATTGTTGTAATTATTTGCATATAGGCAATGTGAAACTGTGTAATATATATTCTGAACTTTTTAATAGAACTACTTTAAGTTTATTGAGTGAGTGATAAAATAACTACAAAATACGAGTATCAAGTTATAGAAATGTAGCCAGTGAATAAACGTTCTCATCATCATCGTGTCGTGCATGTAATTTTTTTTATTTGGCAACGTGCATGTAATTTTTTTTATTTGGCAAGGAAGTGAGAAGGCCGCAACATAACAAATATTCTTAGCCTCAACAGATGAAGCTGTTGTACATGGAATCTTGCTAACATGGTTTGGCCATCCCTTGAAAATTAGTCTTTATGCTCTATGACATTCGGGATGATAATCAGTCTAATATCTATATAGTATAAGTGTTGTAACGATAATGCAACTAAGCAATCATCACAACTTTAGAAGAGCTATCTTAAGTTTATGAAGGAGTGTCTATACAACTATTCATACCATAGGTATTCAAATCCCAAATGTGTTAGCCTAATTTTTTTTTTTTTTTTTTTTTAATTTATTTTTTCTTTTTCTAATTCTCATTACATGTTCTACCATACCTTTTTTTAATTTATTTTAAAATTATCATTTGCTTATTTTATAAATTTTATATATATATATATATATATATATATATATATATATATATATATATATATATATATATATAGAGAGAGAAGTGAAAATGAAAATCGAGTTTTTAATTAACAATAATTCGGTACACGTCAGAATCTCTAATAAGAAATTCAACAATGAATATTTTAATGGGGTAGTGAAATGGCTTTCTACAAATTCACAAATGTACGCAGTGGAGAACTCATTTAACGATTTGATACACTATTTGAAAACCAGGTTTCAAAGGAAATCCTGTTGATTGTCTAACTACTATTGTAGTATTGTTGACCTCTCGTTTCTTCAA